TTTTTTTTTTTTTAAGAGAAGGGGTGGGCTGGAGGAATCCAGCGGAGGGCTATTAAATTTCTAAACAGTAAAAAGGGGGGACATCAAATATTTCATACTACATAGAGGGGATCGAGGGACAAGAATTCAACCACTTTCACGAGGGGTCACTTTTTTATGCAGACAGAAGAAACACGGCCTAAAGATTTTGCATTCTAAGTTCTACTGTTTATAGGGATTCCACCACCCCTCCTAAAAATGAGTGCTCCCTAATTATCTATTTTTCACCTCTCCTTTCATTTCCCTGCATTTCCACAGGGAGATTTCCACGACACCAACTAGTTTTTTTCTCCAAATTAAACCACTTCTTCTTTATTTGCTTTCCTCATTTTATTTCCCCCTCATCTTAACTTCCACCGGGAACCCTTGGCTAATTCTTTTTCCATTTGTCTTGTTTTGATTACCAGAGTAAGCTAGATCATGAAGAATTTTTAATAGTTGGTAATAAATATGATCTAAATGATGAAAGAGAGGTACCAAAAACAAGAGGAGAAGAGGTAACATGTTGCTGATAAGATATACATGTACATGATTACGCATGTTGCTGGAAAATCAGAAAAAAAGAAACAAAACAAATCGAAATGAAATGAAACAAAACAAAGTATTAAAGAAAGGAAGGAAGGAAGGAAGGTAGGAAGGAAGGAAGGAAGGTAGGAAGGAAGGTAGGAAGGAAGGAAGGAAAGAAGGAAGAAAAAAATTTTCTAACGACACAACAATGCTATGACCAATTTCCTTTATATATTTACATTAATTGAAAGGAAAATACTGACTTTTACAGCTTGCCAAGAGTCTGGGTGTAAAATACATGGAAACAAGTGCCAAAACAGGGAGAAATGTTAAAGAGGTACATATACAATCTCTATGGTACAATAATTTGTCAGCGAGTTTCTTTATTATATTATCATTTGCATAATTAAATGAATGCATAAAATGGTTGCATAAAGTGAATGCATAAAGTGATTGCATAAAATGAATGCATAAAATGAATGCATAAAATGAATGCATAAAATGAATGCATAAAATGATTGCAT